AACTCCTGCTGGGGTGGGGCAGGTGTTGACTTGCTCTAGGGTACACTTGTTCTAGGGGTACCCGGTCTTCAGGTTTTTCCTCCAGAAACACACACATGTAGACACAGGTACACACACAGTGATTCATACACACTCTGACACATAGACACATAGGCAGAGGCTTTCCCCAGGCCTGGGTACCCCTCTGAGGAACAGGCTAGCGGCAGCCTGAGTGAGGTCTGACCTCGATGTGTCAAGGAATTCTGGTTCTGCTGGCCTTCATCTGGCCTCACGTGGGCCTTTGTCTGAGTCCAGGTCTGAGGTGTGGAGCATGTGGGGTCACTTACGTGGGATATCCAAACTTGAGGCCCAGGTCACCATTAGCCAAGGAGGTTACTAAGACCACTGGCATCTTCATGTTGTCCTTGGAGTCCAGGAAGCTCTGGTCATCTGATGCCACCCCAACCACATACCAGGTGCCCTGGAACTGTAGGGTGGGTGAGGGCTAGAAGGCACCCCGAATTCCTGCCTGAACCCTGACCAAGCCTGCCCCAGCCTGTCCACATCAGTTGCTTCCCAGACAGGGTCCAGTGCTAGGAACCTTGCACCCGTGACAACCCTGACCCAGAACTGGGGTTGAGGTGCACCTCGTCTCAACTGGAGTCCCTAGGGAGTGGTGGTGGGCTCAATCTAAAACTTTGGCTGAGGGTTTGCTGACTTCCCCAGCCAACCCCACTCCCAGTTGGATGGGGCAGGTGGGTGGGGGTCTTTTCTGAGCCTGGATTGAAGCGATATGGATTGGGACCTGGGGTGGAAAACCAAAGGAGGAGGGTCTAAGCAGACCTGGCTGGCGTCAAAGTTGGCCTGGATGGGGACTTGGGCCTGGCCTGGGAATAGTCTGAACAGGATGAGGAAGGAGCCAGTCAGCAGAGCTTGCAGCATCATGGAGGAAGGCAGGCAGGCCACGGGAGCAGGGCAGTGCTAGGACAGCCTCCCTCAAGAGCATTTATGCTCCTGGGATACCCTGGGGCTGCTGGCCTGCCTGCCTGCCTGGGACAGAACCCACCAGGATAGGCTCTGATCAAGTTGCACCCTGCAGCGTCCTGGCCCCACTGCTTACACCCAGCCCCGCCCACACCCTGGATTTCCTCCCGGAGAGGCCGGATGCCCAGAAGCCAGGGAATACATGTCTGGCAGGCCACTGGGCCAGGGGCTACATAACAGCTCACCCTCCGTGCCTCTCTGGTCCCCCTGAGTGCCTCTAGGATGTTGGTCCCAAGTCCTCAGCTCAGGCATAGTTCCCAGGCCCCCTTGTCCAGAAAGACCACCTAGAAGCTTAGTCTCTGTGTATGGCCCTGATGCCAGGCTCTGGAGAATGGGCAGGGCTATGTTGTAGGGGCCTAGGCCAGAGGCCAGGGGACTGGAGGTGCTCAGGGAATCTCATCCCCAGCCCACTGTGTCAGTTTGTCTTGGTGCAGGCCATGGACATTCTAGCATTTTCCAAACAAATACTCCTTTTAGTCTCTGAAACCCTATCTCAGCCCATAATCCCATAGCCTGACAACCCCCTAGATCTGAAGCTCCCCTCAGGAGCACCTGCCTAAGGATTAGGGGCTGAGTGGCTCACCCCCACCAGCCCAAAACAGTGGGGGTTTGGGCTGTGATTGGTAAGTGGAGGGGGTGAGGCTGTGCCAAGGCCACGTAGGGTTGTGGGTGGCTGGGGACAACCAGAGCTTCTCTGCTTATGTGGAGGGCAGAGCCCAGCCCTTTGGTGATATCTTGCTGAGGGCTGGTCCAGTGGCCAGAGCCAGTGAAGACAGGACAGACAGGCAGGAGTCAGGCTGCTGACTTGCTTCTAGAGTTTATTTCTCAGAGCCAGGGGGACAGAAGCCATGTGGGGAAAGCCGGGGCCAGGTCTCAGAGCAAAGGGTAGAGTGGTCCTGAGGGCTGGGTTCACCTGGCTGGGAAAGCAGGACTTATCAGTGCAGGCAACTCTCTGCCCCTCCCTGCTCCCAGGCCACCTGCTGGATTTCCATCCCAGGGTTCTTTTCTGGGGTAGGGGTGAACCCCTCCAGAGCCTGGTCCCTGAGGCTGTCAAGTGCCTTGCCCTTTCCTTCCTCCATCCCCTTCCATTTTATCCACCCCACCTTGGCTCCTGCCTGCCCCCAGGGACAGAGACCTTTATAGCACATGGTCCCAGCAGATGGAATCTCCTCCCCTTTGTCTGCCAGAGATCTGGAACCCAGACCCCTGCCTATCTTCAGCCCCCCTCAGCCTTTGAGAGTTGGTCCTATTCCAATAGCCAGGACCAAGCTTCCTTTCGGACCGTATCCCTGGATGTCAAGTCTATATAGGGGGTGCCCATGTCTCCCACCCAACCTTGGAAAGGGTGGGTCTAGAACCAGGCCATCTAGTGACCCTGAGCCATCACAGAGTGGGTGGTGGATGTGCTGAATGAATGAATGCCTCCTGGCCCACAGCCCAACCTGGCTCACCTATTGTGGCTCCGTGATGCACTTATCTGCCAAGAAAAGAGCCCAGGGGCTGTGGTCAGGAACCTAGCCAGGGCCAGTTCCCCACCTGGACTTCCTGTCCCTCCTCTTATGGAAAGCGGGTCTGAGTGAGCCTCCAAGCTGCACAGAGCCTCTCTCCAGCCCCCTGCTCCCCACACAGAGCCTCTCCTCAGCCCCCTGTTCCTCACAACAGAAGGGTGGACTTTCTCCACTTCAGCAAAGCAGACTGTGTCCCCCGGGAGCCTGAGCTCCTAGTTAGTTAGTCTCCCTCTGTTCCCCATAGGCACCCCACCCCCACTAGCCTGGGGCCCCTGCCCCCCAGGGACTGGCACAGAGGGGTGCTTGGTATCCATCAGGGAGGGTCTTCTAATAGAGGGGGATGCAGGTCATTGGCTTAGGGAAAGCCCCTTCCCTCCGTGCTCCCACCTTAGCCCAGTCAGGAGACTGTCTGCCTCTAATCTTGCCTAATCCCCTGCTACTCAGATTAGGGCCCCCCTCACCAGTTGGGGGCAGGAAGACAATGGTATCCTCTGTGAAGCCCTGGGCCATGCAAAAGGTGGTGAATTTCTCCTTTAACTCTTCCTTGGGGGTCTGGGTACGGCCTATGGCAGGAGGAGAGGGAGCTGGTCTTAGCAGGTGAAAGGTCCCTGTTCTACCCATTCCCCATCTTGCGAGCCCCACCCCCACCTCTGTTAGGCCTCAGTCCTTAGGCCCTGTGCTGGGGCACGTACTGTAAAGTGTGACCATGCGGAAGTCCTGGCCAGGCTCCTTGCTTCCCTGGCTGTACAGCAGGGCGTACTCGTTGTAGTTGGTCTCCACCACTGAGATGTCATAGGTGCTGCCCCAGTCTAGGAACCCAAGAAGTGGCCCTGGCTGAGGGACTTGGCCCTCTAAAGTTTGGACCCCCTCTTTTTTTTTTTGTGACAGAGTCTCAAAAAAGAGAATCACAGCTCACAGCAACCTCAAACTCTTGGGCTTAAACGATTCTCTTGCCTCAGCCTCCTGAGTAGCTGGGACTACAGGCGCCCGCCATAACGCCTGGCTATTTGTAGAGACAGGGTCTCACTTTGGCTCAGGCTGGTCTGGAACTTGTAAGCTCAGGTGATCCATTGGGCCCCCTCTTCTTTAGGGAAGGGGTACTTGCCTGCCAAGACGCCCTTCTCCTCCGGCTGCTTTCCTTGCCCCGCTCCCCAGTTCTAACAGTCCCCTTTCCAATTCTGGAAACTCTGTGTCCCTGAGCCAGAATTCCCGGGCGGCCAGGAACACAGGCTCAAAAAATCAGGGGTTCATGGTGCAGCCACAGATCTCTTGGCCAGAACCAGAGGGAGGATGTCTCTAGGTGAGGAGCCACACCCCTCCCCTCCCCTCCCACCCCTATGGGAGTGCGAGGAGGAGGAAGAGGTGTGTGGAAGCACTTGGGGGCTGCCCCAGCTGGGAAGCAGCTCTGGGGAAATCCTGTGGGGCAGGGCATGTAGCTCAGAGGGACCCAGTCTCCCAGTGTTGGGGTCTGTGCGGGGTGTAATCAGCTCAGGCCTGGCCTTGAACTCAGTGATCCCGTGATGTTGCCATCACCCTCCCTCTGGTTCCATGTGTTCCCAGGGCAGGGGCCTCAGGGTCACTGCCAGCAAGTGTTACTTCAAGGTTGGGCGAAGGCGGGCCCCACTCACGGGGACTCCGGTAGCGGTAGGAGCCATGAGCTCCTGCAGGCTGCAGCAGCATTGTCCGGGTCTCACACTGGTTTTTCCTGTGGGCATGTTACCCTAGTGGTCAGGCGCCAAGCTGAGGGTGCTCCCCAGGCCATAACCACGGGGTGGGGTTCTCTTGGTGCCAGAAGCCAGCCCCACCCACTGTCCCACCTGAGGAAGGTGGAGGTGAGGTTGAGGCCACCATCAGAGCTCGGGGCCACCATCGACCTGCACATGGACAGCACTGCCTTCTTCTCCAGAAACCAGCTCGCGTTGGAGGCTAGGCCTGCACTGAACCAGCGCCCCAGGAACTGTGGCAAATGACCCCACCCATGTTGGCCAGGACCCTGGGGACCCTCAGGGGCCTCCCTGCCCTTTGCCCCAGCTGGCTATGCCCTCAGGGGATGCTGCCTCCTGGCAAGGCGGGCAGAGCAGCGGTGGGTAGGGAATGGTGGGGGATGGGGGGGTGGGGGTGGGGCTCCCCATTCCTCAGGCTGGCCTTCTGTGCTGAGCCCAGGTGTGTCCTTGACCTCTTGCCTGCCACAGGCTCAGATGTAGGACCGGCATCCTGGCTCCCACACCTCCACCACACATCCCCAACTCCACGACTCCCCCCCACACACACACAGCTCCCAGGCGTGAGCCCTTGGCCTGTTATCAGCTGCGCTTATTCTGGTGTGCTCAATCGGCACAGATCCGTGTCCTGGAGCCCAGCTGTAGAACCTAGGCCTTTGTGATCTCTGGGCATCCTGTGTTCACAGGAGTCGGCAATGGTGTTTGGTGGTACAGGCATAAATGTGGCCTGCACTCCTGCATGAACCCGTCATCAGCATGGGACAAAGGGCTCTGGAGTGATGAACTGTTGCTGCCCCAGTGAGGGCCTCCCATAGTCAGCCTCCTCTTGCAGCTGTCAATCCTCCTTCTGGCTGACCGCTCAGGCCTCTGCCCAGCAGTGCCTGGCACTAAGGAACTTAGCTCTCTTTCTCCAGGGAGAAGACCTGCCCCAAAGTGCCCCCTCCCTAAATAGGGCTCTATACTGCCTTGGGCATGGGTTGGGCAAGCCCCTTACCTTGTCCTGTTGGAAGTCAGGCTGTACTGAGACCTGGGCCTGGGCAGGGGTCTGCAGGACCCCCAGCAGGACCAGCCCCACCCACAGCAGGCATGCAGGGGCCATTTTCCTGGAGCAGAGCCTGGTGCCAGTGGAGTAGGCAGAGCAAGGAAGGTGAGCAAGAGGCTTGAACTGTGCTGAGGAGACCCCTATTTATGGGTCAGGATTGGCCTCCACCCAGGGCCCAAGGACAGCCCACTGAGACTCGTGATGCTAGGGGGAGGGGAGCGGGGGGCCAGGCACAGCTGCAAGCCTGTTGTCCCGTGGGCTGCTTATGCAAGAAGCTCCAACTGAGACAGACCTGGCCCTGCTGCTCCAGGCTGAGTGAGGGTGAGGGAGAGACCAGTCCTAGAGATAGAGTGGTGTAGATCTGGGTCACCCCACTTCTGCCAGCAAGGCCCCCTACCCAGCCAGATGGGGCAGGGAGGGCATGGCCTGCATTCAGGGCCTCTGAATTTTCCACCAGTGTCAGAGCTGAGTCTCACAAGCCCCTTTCTAAGCCCCGTAAACCTGGGAGTGACACAAAGCCCCATCTGTACTCTGAGTTTGGTCCTGAAAGGCAGGTAGTGATGAGAAGCCTGGACGAAGGTAAAGGAACTTGATCTACCCCACAAGGGCTCAAGGGTCAGGTGTTCTGGGCACAGCTTGCCCCATGGCCAGCTCTCAGGGCTCTGATGGTGGCCCCAGGTGCTGTCTCAGCCTAGGGCCCCTTAGAGCTTGGGCATGACTCCATCTTTCCCTGGAGGCCCTTGCTGCTCCAAGATGGTCACTCCATCAAGAGTCTGGCCCAGACATTGGACACAGTAGCAGCAGCCTATGAGACTCAGGCCAGTCCTATCACCTGGAGGGCTGAGACCCTGATTCTAGCTACCAGACCCTGGTTGGGTCCCTCCTAGGGGTTATGGACCTAGCTGAGGTATGGTCCAGTCTGGGTCCTCCAAGGCATGGGTGGGCCCACGTTGGCAGATCAAAAATTGGGGGGAGAGCCAGAGTTGGTGCAGACATCCTAGGTGAGGGAATGGAGCCCATAGAGTCAGGAGGCACCTGAGAGCTGGCAGGTGGGAGAGGAGGCAGCAGCACAGGAGGTGGCTCAGGTGGTCCTGAAACCCCTGTCCCTGGCCTCCCACCAACCCAAACCCAGAACAGGGTATGCCCCCTGCTCAGGCACTGTCCACGTCCTGGGCCAAGAGGGAGTCTGTTGGAACAGGTGGGCTGTAGAGGGCCCTGGCCCTGGGCCCCACACTGTCCTCAGTCTGTCCTGAGCTCCAGCCTGGCCTAGCAGCAGATCTGGAGGTTCCCTTCAGGAGGGGGCAGGGCTCCCTTCAGCAGATGAACAGGGAACTGGGCAGGAAAGTAGTGTGGGCCTGGGGGCAGCCCCACCTGTTTAACAACTGAGTCCTGGCAATCCTTTGGCTCTGGGGGTGCCCCTGGCTCTCTGAGCAGCCTGGCTGGAGGTTTCTGCCCAGGCCAGGCTGCCCCACACAAGCCCACCTCCCAGTGGGGAATAAGCCCTAGGGCAGATGGGGAGGAGGTGGCCCAGGATGGGGACCTAGGGTGTAGAGAAAGAAGGACGAGGGACCCAGGGTGGGCAGAGACAAGGGATCTTTTTGGTCCAGTTCTGTACCAGGAAGGGAAATGGGCCCAGTCTTTCTGCAGATGCTCCAGCCTGGGGGCCTGGGTCCTCTTGATCCCACAGTGGCTCTTAGGGGTATGCTGGGCATTCACCACAGCATACCAAACCTGGAAACTAAGGTACAGGCCAGGGGAGGACCTGTTCCTGCCGCTCCATGGACCACAAGAATCCTGCTAGAGATGATCTGTCCTTTTGGGAGGCCTGAGCCCACTCCAGTTACATCTGAAATGAATAGTTTGGGGTTGAGGTGACACAGCGGTGCCGTGACAACACAGCAGCCAGCTATGGGGGGCGCTGGGTCTATGTGAGAAAACAGACACCAAAGGCTACACTCGATGGGATTGCATTGACAACGTTCCAAAGAGGGTCATGCTCCTCTGCAGTGGCCAGGCTGAGAGAGGACTGCCCAGTGGGAGGGGCTGGACGCCTGCCCTGGAGCCAGCTCTGCTGTGTCAGAGCTCTCACAGCCCCTCTTACTGCATGTCACAAATGCCTCACTGGAATTCGCATTGTAGAAGTGAGGACCAAACTGGACTTTCTCAGACAAATAAAACCTAAAGAAATTCATGAGCAGCACATTTGCAATTAAAAAACACTAAAGATGTCCTTCATCTGGAAAGGAAGTGACTTTGGAGTGAGCTCCAGAACCCAGGTAGGGGGAAGAGCAAAGAAAAGGTGAGCCAGGGCCTGGGACCACTGCTGTGTGGAGATGCACCATAGGCTCAGGCCTATAATCGCAGCACTCTGGAAGGCCAAGGCAGGAGGATCCCTTGAGCTCAGGAGTTGGAGACCAGCCTGAGCGAGAGTGAGATCCTGTCTCTACTAAAAACAGAAAAACTAGCCAGGCATTCTGGCAGGTGCCTACAGTTCCAACTGCTTGGGAGGCTGAAACAGGAGGATCGCTTGAGCCCAAGAGTTTGAGGCTGCTGTGAGCTGTGACGCCACAGTACTCTACCCAGGGCAATAGAGTGAGACCTGGTCTCAAAAATAAATAGGCTCAGCGCCTGTGGCTCAAGTGGCTAAAGCGCCAGCCACATACACCTGAGCTGGTGGGTTCAAATCCAGCCCAGGCCTGCCAAACAACAATAATGGCTGCAACCAAAAAACAGTCGGGCATTGTGGCAGGAGCCTGTAGTTCCAACCACTTGGGAGGCGGAGGTAGGAGACTCGCTTGACCCCAGGAGTTGGAGGTTGCTGTGAGCTGTGATGCCATGGCACTCTACCCAGGGCAACAGCTTGAGGCTCTGTCTCAAAAAATAAACACATAAATACATAAATACATAAAATGGGTGGCGCCTGTGGCTCAAAAGAGTAGGGCACTGGCCCCATATGCTGGAGGTGGCAGGTTCAAACCCAGCCCTGGCCAAAAACTGCAAAGAAAAAAAAATAATGATAATAAAATAAATACATACATACATAAATAAAAGAACAGTGAAAAAGTTAAATAACAAAGTAGAGCCTCCAGGACATGGTTGTACACCTGTGTTCACAGCAGCCCGCAGGGAATAATCCAAGTGTCCATCAACAGACTGTGGGGAAGCAAAATGCAATCTGTCATGCAGGAGAGTGTTTTTCAGCCTTCAAAGGCAAGGACATTCCAACACAGGCTACCCTGGTGAGCACCCTAAGGGCACCAAGTTCAGGGAAATGGGCCGGTAACTAAGGAGCAAACCCTGCAGGATCCCACTGCCTGAAGTCCCCAGAGTCATCAGATCCACAGGGACAGGAGGTGGGACTCTGAGTGCCGGCGCTCCGAGGGGGACAGGGAGTATTTCATGGGGACAGAATGTCAGTGTGGGAAGATGGAACGTTCTGGAGAGGAAGGTGGTGATGGCTGCACAACATGGGAATGCGCTCCCTGCCCCTGAGCTGTGCATGTAGAAATGGTGAAAAAAGAACAGATAATTACAAGCTAAGAGGGAAAATGATGCAATTAGGGAATGATTTAGTCCAAAAGAAGGCAGACAGGGGAGGACCAGTGGGAGTGACAAAGGTGGACAGACAGGTGTGGCCCGGGGCCGGCCACTTCCATCCTGTGTGCTTTGGCTGCTGCCCTGCATTTCCCCCAGTGGAGGGGCAAGCTGTCGGGATTGTCCATGGGAGGACAGCCATATCCATGTCCACATCCACATCCGTGTCTTCAGAACACCCGCACATCAGTCACATGGAGCCCACCCACTGTCCTGCCTCCCACTTCCTGGGCAGGGTGCCTTCAACTGGTCCCTGCTCCTAGGTGGGGAGAGGGGCTGCCCTGCCCAGCCCACAGGGGCCCACAGGCTCAGTCTCTTTACCCTGGCTTCATCCCCAGCACCATCTGGGCCTGCTGGGCCAGAACCAGCCCCTGCAGGTTTCCGGAGCTGACTCTGCTTATTTTCTGGAGGAGGAGGAAGGGAGGACAGCTGGGACTTGTCTCTGGGGTAGGGGTCCAAGTGGGCAGCTGGGAGCCTGGCCCATGGGTGCAGGGCAGAGCTAGAGACCCTTCTCGGACCCCGTCCCTGCCACTCTCCCCCTGGGGCCTGAGGCCTCAGGGCCCAGGGCTGCCCCTCTCTTTGGGATTCCTCTGGGCCCTGAGGAAGCTCTTTTCTCAATAGCACCCCCATGGGAAACCTGGACCTGGTTCCTGGACTCCAGCCCCCAACATGGGGGTCATCCACGGGGCTGGAATACCTGTGCTGTGGGCCTGAGCCAGGTGTGACAGGTGGGGCAGGGACTCCCTCTGATCACTTTGGAGCTGGGAAGGGACAGGTGACCTAGCCCCCCTTGCCAGAGCATGTCTAAGACCCTTATGTTGGGAAAGGGGGTACTGTGGTCTGAATATGTCACCAGATTTCATGCGTTAAAAATGTAATCCTCAAATTCATATTTGATTGGAAGTTGAGCTTTTAGAGGGTGCTTAGGGTTAGATAAAGTCATGGGAGGGGGCCTCTGGCTTTGTTATGGTGGGCGAGTCCCTTGACCTTGGACTTCCTGGCATCCAGATGGTGAGAAATACATTTATTTTCCTCAAAAATGACCAGTCTCAGGTATTCTAAGACAGGAGGTGAAGTTGGAGGGCCCCAGGGAGGAGCCCTAGGAAGGGGTCGAGGCTCAGGCTTGGTGGGGAGACCCTGCCAGCTGCCACCTCTGTACAAACTTTCCCCATCTCCCTGTGCCACACAGCCCAAACACCCTTTCCTTAGCTCTGAGGTGACTCTCAGCCCCACTTGCACCAGCTCAGAAGGGAGCAGGAAAGGGCCTCCCAAAGCCTGCCCTCCACCCTCTCAGGCTTTGGGCCCCAGCCCCCCCCACTAGACATGGGGCGAAGTTTCACCCCCAGGGACTCCTCCCCAGAGGGGCACTGTGTCCTCTTTGGCAAACTGGAAATAGGAGTGGCCTGGGGCTGTGGGAACTAAGAACTGGAGAGGACATGGGCTCAGCCACATGGGTGAGGAAG